ATATATATATATGCTTCTACCCTCTTGGATTTTATTTTGACGTTTTTACACTTCACTTCCACTTCCTGTCTGCCCACCACGCTACTGTCTGTCCCAAATGAGAAATGAAAAAAGGAATTTGCAAAAACCAAAATTGGTTTTCTGTTTTTTTCGTTTGGAAACAAAAAAGGAATAGATCATGTGATTTTGTTTTTTGTTTTTGGTTTAAAATGAAAAAAGGAAAAAACCATGTGACTTCCGTTTTTGGTTTCAAACGCAAAAACGAATTGGCTGAATGTCCGCAGACCTGTTCAATATTCAATCCAAAAAGGAATAACGGTAAAACGAATAGGCAAAAACCAAAAACGAGCCGGGTTTGATTGGTTTTTCGTCATTTGATTCTGACACCAAAAACGGTTTTCTTGGGTGCTCTTGTTTTTTTGTTTTGAATCAAATAACAAATTTACCGTTTTTGGTTTTTGAATTACGAATTATCCGATGATTCCCGGACCTCCCGGACACAGACTGGCCAATCACAAGATAGCATCGGGCAGGTGTCCTAGTCTGACTGAAAGGGGTAGCGCAAACTTTCAGAACACCGGCTCAGACCAGGGTCCGACAAAAACACAGTGACACCAATGCAGTTGTTTCAGATTTCCTTCATTTTCAGGCTGGTTTTGTGGATTTGGAGCTAAATGTTGTACCTGGGGCACGTCGTGTATTGATGATACTTGTTACCTGGAGAGGTAGGAAGGAGATTTACGTTTCTTCCCTGTTTGAAAACCAATATCAAACCCTGAAAAGTGTAGGGTTAGCTAGCTAGCTAGTGAAGATATAGCCTACTGAATTTATACCACCAAGGTACCTTTTAGAGCACGTTAGCCAATCAGAAGCAAGGGAGCTCTGAGAGCCCACCCACCAATGAAACGAAATATGGAGTGGTAAATTTGTTTTTTTGCAATAGGATCAGAAAACAAGAAATTGAGCTGAATTTCGTTTTTTCATTTTTTTTTGCCAAAAACGAAAAAACGACTTGTTTCTGGTTTCTGATTGTGTCAGTTATTCCCAGAAAATAAATGGTTAAAAGGTACCTTGGTCGTATACACATGCTGCTTTTGCTTTTTAATGATTACAACAGGGAAAAAAAGACTGACCCTGCTTTACAGGAATCAGTGAAGGGAAGCAGAGAAACTTTGCCAATATTCAACCAGGGTGGTCCGTGTATATTTTGGCAATTGGATTTTCCGTTCTGAAACGGGTATTAAAAAACAAAAAACGAGTGGTTATTTGATTTTCGTTTTAAAATACAAAAATTAAAATTGAAATACAAGGCGTTTTTCCTTTTCATGATCAAAAGGGATATACGAAATTTTAAAAATGGTTCGATTTTCATTTTCTATTTAGAATAACAAAAAATAAAATCAGTAAGAGACAGAAACGAAAAAAGGTCCGCTTTTTTCATTTTCTGAGACCGGATGTGGTCATCAGCAAGAGCGCCAAATATGTGTGCCAGTGTGTCCAGTCCTGTCGGATCCTAGGCTAGTGATAAACGCAAGGTAAAATGTCTTTGGAACCCTACCGTGAAGTTATTTTAGACATGGCAAAAGAGGGCCTGTCATCCGCGGAAATATCTGCACGTATTTCGCAAGAAAGTGGGGGTGGAAGAGGGTTTTCTGAAAGAAATGTGAGGAAATTTTGCGCTGACCATGGCTGCAGCTTAATGGGACTCTCCGACGCACATTTGGAGTTAGAGGTGGCAAAAGCTATAACCGAGGTATACATCTTCTCTTCACGACTTAGATGTTTCTTTCTGTGTGCGTGTGTGTGTGAGAGCGAACGTGTTTATGCATACATACACATACACACTATGTCCGCATCTCTTCAAGGATTATGCAGGATTATAATCACAAATAGTTAATAAATCACAATAAAGAGCCTCAGCCTACCATCACTTGTAAGTAATCATCAGGGGTGGAAGTAATTCATTACAAATACTCAAATTACTGTAATTAAGTCGTTTTTTGGGATACGTGTACTTTTATGAGTAGATTTTCAAGTCTGTACTTTGACCTTTACTTAAGTATTCATTTCACCATGTAATCTACTTAGTTACTTTTGAAATCATAGTTGAGTACTGAGTACAATTCCAAACCTTTTATCTTCATTTCTGTATGTGGACGAAAACCAAAACAAAACAAAAAAAAAAGGATGTTAATGATTGATCTTTAATTGATTTTGTGTTAAGAATTTAACCAGTTAAAAATGTATTCATGGATATTAAATCAATAGTCGTGGCAGTAAATGCACCTCATCTAATTTTGTTTTGTTTTTTATGAATACATTGTACTTTTACTGGAGTATTTTTCTAACACCAGTACTTTTACTTGTAATTGAGTAATATTTTAGCAATGTAATAGTACTTGTACTTGAGTACTGATTTTCAGTACTCTTTCCACCACTGGTAATCATAGTCAGCATACATGTAAACCTTACTACACTCCACAAACCACACACACAAACTGCCCTGTCTAATGTCATGATAAACATATATCAGCAGGTGTGATTTTTGAATATGGAAATCATGTTAATTTGTTATTTTCAAGACAGGACCTACATATGGGAGAAGAATAATGAAGGGGTATCTCGCCATGAAAGGAGTGCATGCTGCAGAGACACGAATTGGATCAGTGCTCAGAACTATGCATCAGCCTTACCATGAAGCAAGGCGTCAGGCATGTTACTGTCTCAGCCTTCATATTTTACATCATCAAACTTGTGTAATTTGTGTCTAACTATGAGCTTGTGTGTGTGTGTTTTGGTGCTTGTTTAGCTGCAGTTACATAGCACAAGATTTAAAAAATTCATGTTTTTATCGTATAACCAGATCAAGTGCCCTAATTTATTTTTAATTTTCATTTTGACAGAGATAGTACAAATAGACATGGTTACATTTATAAAACTTTTAACTGATGCAGTATATGATTAATGGGATTTTTTTATACTGTGAAGTAGTTACATTTTTCTCTCTTTTAGGGTGCCCGCAATCTCAACCCTGTACCATATCATGCTGAATACATGGGACACAAGATTCATATGGACCAGAATGAAAAACTGGCCATGTTTGGAGTCACCCATGTTTTAGCCCTTGATGGCTTCAGCAAAAAGGTTGTTGCTCATTCTACTATGCCAATAAAAAACAACCTTACCATCTATGAAGATGTTTTCAGGTAATAGTCTATGTATTGCTGTGTACAGTAAAGGGATATTCTGTCATTTTTTCAGTGTAGACATGAGTGTAGTCTCTTTCTGGTTTTAAAGGCTGCTTTACAGTAAAAGGATGCATCTTTAGGAATTTATTAGACTGTGGTAGCTGTTCTATTCTCTGCCTCTACCTGCTTGATCATCATATCCACTAATGAGTCTTTATTAAAAATATCTTATGTGTAAATATCTTAGGAAAGCAACAGTAGTCAAAATATCAACCTTGTGGTATTCAAAGATATTTGATATTTGATTTTTTCCCTATTGCCTAGCCCTACGTCCCACTAGTGTTTTGCACTGGTCATTTGCAGACACTTGTCTATATTCTTAAACTCTTAAACCCCTAAACCTCAGCCCCACCTATCAGTTATGCCATTCAGATGGTGGAGTGAAAAGAGAGGCTGCAAATAACAAAAAAACCAACATATTGTTAACAAATAAATTAGACTGTCCCTTTCAAGCCATTGAAATAGTTGTACATATTGCATAACTACCACATTCATGATAAACTGTGACTAAATGATACCTGCTGAACATCATTGTTATAAGTCATTTTTACTGAGAATATCTGATTTGGAATGGTGAAGTCTTAAAATGGACTTTTTCATCCAATAGGCCTGCAGTACTTGCCCATGGTATCTGGGACCAGGTGCGAGTTGATCATGGCAAGGAGTTTTATTTGACGCTCTTCATGCAGGAGCTGCTGTCATCTCATCGCTACAATCAGGAGAGAAGGCCTTATTTACAGACTTCATCCACAAAGGTACATTTTTATAGTTTGTGTGGTTGCTTCAGCAACACACTACTTGTTGTATGCCTGCCTTTATTATCATTACTATTATGGTGACTTCAGCAGGTATTCTTGCATACATTTTATTATTACTATGCCTTCCAAATTTTAGAGTTAACATGATATTAAACACATTACCTTTTGCCAAGAAGGGGTTTTATTTTTTTTTAATCTGGTTATTTATTTTACTTAAAACAACTGCAGAAGCAACCACACTGTAGTTATTCGAATTTTATATTCTAGTTATGTGATGAGCATTGTTTTTTTTATCAAACTTTGGGAAAATTTAAAAACAGTAAATTTACTAGCTCATCCATAATACCCAGATAGATGGTCAGCATGCAGATTTCCTGGTAAATGTGCATATTGACTGCTGAGTCAGTAAATTTACAGATTCAGGACAGGAATTCTGCAAATGACCATTTTTCCTGAATGGACCATAACACATTTTTCATTAACACACCAGAACAAATTGAATGATATCTAATCTTTCTTGCAAATTCAGAATCATATAGTTGAACGAATCTGGCCTGAAGTCAACAACCGTGTCAACTATCCACTGAAGACAGCCTTACTGCAGTTGGAGGATCAAGAGGAACTAGACATGAACGATGGCCTTGTGAGATACTGTGTATCCAACCTGACTGTTCAGTTGTGCCAGATTGGTCTCACAAGACTGGTGGACTCATGGAATTCTCACCGCATTCCAGGTGAAATAAACCAGTGTTGCGAAGATTAGAATAATTACAGCAAGCACTTTGAAGTTTCAAGAACTGAACTGATTTCTTTATTTTACAGGTAAAGGTGTACCAAACAACTTGGCTGGCAGTGGCTGTCCCAAAAAAATCCCACAGGAGCTGCTGCCTCATTCAGTTGAAGCAGCAGACCTTTACAGCCAACAGCTTGGATCCTCATTGACAACACATTCTACTTTTGGAATTGATCCATTTTCAACTGAACAGGACAAACTAACAGTTGAGAATCAGTTTGCAGAGAAATATTCAGACATTTCAGTCTTGTTCTCGAGAGCAGTGAACGAGGACTTCGCCCCATACAAAGAAGCAGTGCTCTATCTCATAACAACAACTCAGCGCAATGTGTGAAAAGACATTTGCTGTATTTGAACTTAGTAGACCTTTACAGCTGGGATCCTCACTGACAACACATTCTACTTTTGGAGTTGATCTATTTTCAACAGAACAGGACAAACTTGAGAGTTGAAAATCAGTTTGCAGAGAAATATTCAGACATTTCAGAATTCTCTAGAGCAGTGGACAACAACATGGCTCCATACAAAGAGGCACTGCTCTCTCATAACCACAACTTTAAAGAATGTAAATTAGTAACTATAACAATTAACTGGTGGCAATGGATGTTTGGTAAAGATAAATGTTAATCTCACTAAAACAGTGAACAGTAATATGATGTCATCCAGCCCAAACATGTAAATGAATTCACATTACTAGTACAAGAACTCTGACCCAAATACAACAGAACACAACATGCCTACAGTATTTGAGTATGAAAGTGCAAAATGTTACTCCTCTTCAAAAAGGGATCTCAGAACAGAAAATGCCTCTGACAGACCATTAACTTCAAATATGTTGCTGCCTTCGGTGTTCCCTCTACATTTTGCACAATGCACAGAGGTCAACTGCCACTGTTCCACACATGTTTTGCAGCCAATAATGCTTCGGCAACACTCTGTGAAGACTGGCTCATCGATGAACTCTGAAACATAAAAAGAGAAAAACTAGTCCTTCTCTGTGTCCCCATCTGTCCTTAATGTGTTTTTAATGTACTGGATGACTGTGTTTTCTTCTTCTTTTTTACTGAACTTAAATGCTTCAGGGTTCCCACACATTTTTACCAACTCATTTTCAAAACTTTTCCATAATATTTTACCTCATTTACAAGACTTTATCTACATACGGTAGTTTTAAATAAGTAGGCTCACATAGTGATCAAAGGGTGCAATAATGAGGCTTTTAGTGGAGGAGAGGAGGATGAGGAAGAGAAAAGGAGATGAGAAGAGGAGGAGAAACAATAGCCATAAACAGTGTATATTCGAAATTTTTCCTGTTAATTTCAAACCATTTCCAGGTCTGGAAAACAGTGTTTCTAATTTAAAAACCTTTCCAGGAATTTCAAGACTGTGGGAACCCTGACTTTTAAAAGATTCTTTGTTATTGTATTATTACACAATGGGCTGTTACACAAAGGACTGCATCAATACATGTAATAACTGTAGTGGATGAGACACCTTGGTTAGTGAATACAAAAATGTGTATTTGGAAATATTAAATTCTGGCACACACCAAATAAAATGGCTCCAAAATTATTTTAAATGTGGGGCAATACTATCTTTTGCATACTTACTCATACAAACAACACAGCAGAACCCTTGCTTGATGGCCTGTAGCTGGGACGGAGTCAGGATGACTTTTTGAGTGGTAGCCAGACTGGTCTGCCAGTACAAGCTCTTCTACTTTCTCAGTGACATCTCCAATGCCTGCAGCATCTTCATCTTTTCGGCTGTTAAAAGGAAAAAAACATAGTAGATGTGTACTGGTTGTGATTTAGTGGTTTTGGTAGTGGTGGTGGGGTGGAAGCCTGACCTTTCTGGGAGGAGGATGAGGATGGGGAGAGGAAGCAGAGGAGGAAAAACAATAGCCAAAAACAGTGTATATTTGAAACTTTTCCAAAGCATCCTGTTAATTCTAAATCATTTCCAGGTCTGGAAAACTCTTTTTTATCATTTCATAACTTTTCCAAGAATTTCATGACCATGGGAACCCTGCATAATAGATTTCATTGTTTGGACAAATAAGAGTACTATGAATGCTTAATATTACCTTGTTCTCCTCCTTTTTTTGTCCTGCAACTCCTGGAAGTCCTGTTCTCGTACAGCAAGAATCTTTCGTGCATTTTGTTTCCAGTACTGTGACCCTTTGGAGTCGGGGTGGAAACCAGGAAAAACCATTACAACTTAAGTGGTTGGTCCAGACATGAGGAATCATGTGCCATCTAATATTCAATCACTAAAGTTAATACTTAAAAAATTAAATAAAATCAAATGTACCCACCTGTTGTTCCTTCTGACTCCAAAATTGCATTCCCTTGCGCATCAGTCAACACCACAGGGTCATGATTTCCAATGGCATCTTGTACTTTTCCGATGATCCCCTGCAGGGTAGCCTCACATTCCAAAAACCGGACCACCACCGTTCTGCTGGGACTCAACCTCCCACCAACCACCTCAGCGAGGTACACTGATCTGTGAAAATTTATAAAAATAATTGCTGACACACAGAGCATTCATAATCCTGGCAATGGCTAATGATGATGTATACCAACAATAACTAGAAAATGCGGCAATGATTTTGTTGTGTTTTAAGATGTATGGAAAATACAGTACTTTGAAAAATAGTTTGTGTCTGACATTGTTTTTCCACAAAAAGAGTCAAATATATTTTATTACAATCCTTAAAATTACGTCTGTTCCTTCTACCTTATTACAAATTCCACAATCTATAAATGTACCAATATTTTTTGTCTCGAAAGTTTAACTGTTGGACACAAGATGTCTTCAAGCTTCAGGTTTCCACATCACACTCGTGTAAGCTCAACAGACTTGGCTTCCAAACTACTTGTGATTTCACAAATCATGCTCTTAGGCCCCCCTTAAACTTGGATTTTCAATAAGCACAGAGAAACATTCCACTTTCAGCAGACTAATGTGAAAACAGCCTTCTGGTGACAAACTGTATATACACATCATTCTGCACAGTGAAGCTCAAACATCCAACTGTTGGAAGAGGAGGAAAAACATTTGAGTGGAGGGGGACGTTTATATTAGGGATACACAATAAATACCTGTTCTGATAAATTATCAGCTAATATTGGCTTATCCAGCAATATCGGTCCATATCGGTCCATGTATTGGCTATACTAATAAATGATTTGACAGATTCTCACAGCATTTAATTTGAATTTGTAGACAAAATGCTCTATAAAAGTTGTACATTTGTGAAGTTTTTTGATGAACTTTACTAGAAAAACTAAGTGAAAATTTTAAGAGTTAGAACTGTTTGTTTTTGTTGCAACAATGATGTCAGATCTTTTTCAGTCATGGCTGTGAAATATTAAATCATCTATTTTCGCACACAAAATCTGAACCTTTCTGGCCCGCAGTTGTGCAGAAACTACAGGTAATATGTGCTTCTTTTAAAAAATACAAATCTGAATTTATCAGTTGTCTATATCAGCTATGAGAAGCAGGTCATTATCGATTATCAGTATCAGCTGAAAAACAAAATCCAGATTGTGCATCCCTAGTTTATATTCCTTCTTCTATCTTTAGGCTGATAAACATGAAAATTTAATAATTTCTTCCTTGGCTCAGGACAAATCTACACACAAGGTTTCATACAAATCCACAAAGAACTTTTTGAGTTATTTTGCTGACAGATCGAGACACAGCAAAAACAGAAGTAGTGGAGGTAATTAAAGTTCTGTCAAAAATTTTAAAATGTGCAAAATACATGTAAATTAATGTAAATGGGTGAAATGCAAGTAGTATGAACTATTAATATACAACAACAACTAACTGCAAGGAAGGAGACAAAGAATGGCTGATATGATCATATCAAGCATTAACTAGGTGTTTTCGCAATAAAATCTAACTGTATTTTATTTCCCTTCCCTTAATTTGTAAATTTGAAGTTATAAATTGTATCACTATCATTTAACAATGATTTAAGTTGAAGTTACCTGTGAAAGGTTTTAGAGACAGTGGCTCGAGGGGGGGCTGAGGCAGTCCGCTGTGGAGTTGAACTTGTAGTGGTTGCAGGCGTGCGCATAAATGAAAAACGTTGCCCTGTGCTATTTGCAGGTCCTGAGGTGTCCTCAGCCTCACCATGAACCTCATAATGAGTCCTTGGATTGAGGTCCAATGAGCTGAAAACACCAGATGCCCCAGGAAACAATGCCACGTTTGCGTCGTCAGTCATGTACAGACTACGAGATGAGACCTGTCAAGAAATTCATAAGTCAAATTAGAATAAATACATTTTCATTTCCGATCCTTTCTCAATGAACATTTTTCAGTGACTACCGGGGTATCTTTTCCAAACACCAGCTTTCTACATGACGATATTATTGTATGTTATAGGGGGAGGATGAAATGACAATGAATCACGGAATTAAATTGTCTCTAATTAATTTATAATCCACAAGGTTATGTGAGGTGGTGGGAGAGCGTCATACACTTCATGGCTCCGGTCAGAGAAGAGCGTTTTCAGTGACATTTTAGATCTTTACTACATATCTGTGACTTGCTACCGATAGCAGCATTAACTAAGAACATTTAAGAATCGAGAGGGAGATCAGCTCCTCTCTGTGTGACTGTGTGAACACAACTGTTGCAGTCACCACGTCAACTGTCTGTTCAATACACAGGGTAAGCTAGCTGAGTTAGCCAGTTAGCTGAGTTAGGCAGTTAGCTTATTACTATCATATTATCGTTAGCCTCAGAGAGCGACACCCTGCTTTAAAGCTAGTTGCTGGCTATACCTTGATAAATGTTACTTTATGTATTCTTTTTTTTTTTACCTGAAATATGCGACTGAGTTTATCAGCACTCATGTCTTCTTCCCTGAGACACACTCGCTTGTTGCGAAACACGACGTACTGATCCATATCAGTCGGGTTTAAACAGCCGCAGCACCGTACTCTGTTTGGCTCCACACCTGCTGATGACCACATCCGGTCTCAGAAAATGAAAAAAACAGACCTTTTTTCGTTTCTGTCTCTTACTGATTTTATTTTTTGTTATTCTAAATAGAAAATTAAAATCAAACCATTTTTAAAATTTCGTATATCCCTTTTGGTCATGAAAAGAAAAAACGCCTTGTATTTCAATTTTAATTTTTGTATTTTAAATCGAAAATCAAATAACCACTCGTTTTTTGTTTTTTAATACCCGTTTCAGAACGGAAAATCCAATTGCCAAAATATACACGGACCCAGGGTCCGTGTACTTTTTGTCAGTTTGATATTGATTACATTTTAAACAAAAAAAACTACAAATGATAAAACAGAGCTGTTTTTCCGTTTTTGTTGTCTGAATCAAAAAACGAAAAAACGAGAAAACCAAATTCAAATAACAGTCCGATTTTGGTTTCTTCCAATGCCTGTTTTCATCTTTCCTCTTGAAAAGAACGTGAAGAAAAGTAAGACAGGTGAGCTTCCCGGAAGTCCAAGTAAATATGGGCCTTTCAAAATAAAAGCCAAGAGAATACAATAGCCATTCTACAACGTTATGCGAGCACATACCAGGGTAACATCTGAGGAAAAATACATTAATATAAATTAATCAATCAGACAAATTAATAAGTAGGCTAAATAAATAAACCAAAAAAAAAAATGGACCGATGGAAACAGGGATTGATTACATGTAGACTGATATTGTGCATTTGATGCATCTACACAGCATGAGTAAAGTCTTAGATTAAGTCTCCAATATCTCAGAATATCACTGGACAATAAACTCACCTTCGATCAGCACATCACAGACATCCAGAAACGTAGTCACCAAAGACTCAGTTATCCATAAGCTTAAAGGACTCTATGTTGCTCCACATCTCCTGCTGTTAATGTACCAAAGCATTATTCAGTCCATCCTACTGTACTGTTCTACCTGTTTCTATACCATGCTGTCTGTTAAAAACCGGTCTAAACTCACATGCATAACTGGCACTGCTGCAAAAATCATTGGTCTTCCCACACCCAACCTCACTGAACTTAAAGGGAAATTTCGGTTTATTTCAACCTGTCTCCTATCGTCCTAAATTTGTTTCAAATGACTAGTGACATAAAAATAATAGTTAGCATGTTAGCCGTTAGCTTAGATACAGCCGGGGCGCATAGTAGCGTCAGATCTGTAAGTGAAAGGGCATACTTCAAGTGCAAAGTTAGTCCACTAAACAAGCTTTTTTTCCACAAAGACCGTCTCATATCGTTAGGATAAATGTCAGAGAACATATAGAAAATGACATGTAAACGTGTTGTCTTACCTTATCGGTGTGGTGCCATGTTTGTTTACCATTTAGCTCTGCTTTCCAAAGCGCGGCCGAAATATCGCGAGAACAAGCAGCGATCTCATACAGTGCCTGAAATGTCGCGAGAACAAGCAGCAACAGCTGGAAGGCAGAACCGGACAGTAGCCTGAAAAGTTCATTCATTTATTTTATTAAAGATTTATAGAATAATGGCTGACTTTTTGCCAGACTTCAACTTTGTGGAGAAGGAATTTGATTTTGCAGAGTTTGATGGCCGCCCTTATTTATTTGAGCCAGAATACACTGACGAAGAGCTTCGTGAAATTGAAGAACGGAGGAGGAGAGAGAGAGAGGCGCAACAGGTAGAGGACGAGAGAGGAGGAATGGCTGCTGCAAGGCTGCGTAGCTCTGGAGACTGGTGGTGTACCTGTGAATGCTGTGCCCCAATGCCCACAGAAGAGGAATGCCTCTGTTGCAAGGAATGGGACCGGTTGCAGCCT